AAGTTCTATGTCTAATTCCTCTAAAATCCTTTTCTTGAGATCTTCCGCAGACCAAATTGTCGGCACACCTGAAATTGAAATTCTCGGCTTGAATTTTTTAACATTTTTCGCTATGAGTCCAACAGTCTCTAATAAATCTCTATCTATTGTTGCTTTGGTTGTTATTATTTTGACTCCATTACCACTTACTGGCAGAAGTATTCTAGGTTGAATTCCCAATTCTTGGGGTTTAAGGGTTTTTAGCTTAGCCAATGTTTCTTTGCTGGATTTTAGCTCTCTGTTGTTTTCACTTGGATATACTATAATGACCTCTTCTTTTGAAGGTTCTTTAATGAGCCCTTTGCCAATGGGTATCTTAACTTTTTTCTGTGCCGTTATTGTTGCATAACTGGGCTGTCTGTCAGTAGTCTGAGCCTTATTTACTGCAATGTTTTCTACCTTATCTCCTATCTCCTTAAGAGCTTTAGTGAATTTATCTTCAATATCATTGATTTTACTTTTGGTGTATAGTTCTGTGAAAGCCTGAGTTATTAACTCTATGTCTTCAATGACTGCTTTTTTTCTGTTTGAGGATTCCTTAGACGTATTCAGAAATCCCAGTATTCTTTCTTTAGCGCTCGAGAATACTTTTAGTATTTTGTCTATGTTGCCTGAAGATTCGAATTCTTGTTCCTTATTCACATTTCCAACTATGATGTTAGAGTATAACGATTCAATTTCGCTATGTTCACTAAAATTATCATTATCTCTTTGCTTGTTTTCATATCCTTGAGTTTGTCTTGCTTGAGTTATATTTTCATTGTCCATTATTGTTCCCACGAGTTGCTGGGAATACAGTCCGCTCCAGCAGAGCCCGCTTACTGGAGTAAGGCTATTTACTGCCAAGTGCGCCCAATTTTGACAGGCATCGTTTATGACAGAACAACCCTGCTGTCTCGCATACCCTCAGCACGATTGCTGACACCTTGGCATTGGGGATTTTTTATCGAGGTTTACTCCTCTAAGTTGAGCCGTCCTTAGCTTCACTGCTCATCCTCGACCTTACCGGCAAGGGTGACCCTGCCAGGAGCTCAAGCTCCCGCCGGCATCGCTCTCGGAATCACTGCAGCTACTGGTTCCCCCCACCAGCGAAAAGGTCTCACGGCTCCTTGGGGGGACCACTGGTAGGGACAGATGTCTTGAAATTTTAACGTGCCTTTCCTGCCGCAAGGCTCTAAGACACGACCTCCCTAGAGATATAGCGGGGTCCGGATACGCCGGAGCCAACGCGCTCACCCGTAATGGGTGAGCTACCGAATTGCCGCGACCATTTGTATTCCAGTCTTCGGCCACTTCGGTCTGAGCGAGCACCTATCCAAGCTCTACTAGTTCTGCAGGCTAGCGCCCGAGCTGTTACGCAGCTCACCCGTCGTACCACAAGTGATACTAGCCAGCTTATGGCTTCAACCACTGCCCCCCAGAGTCCAACCCTTACGGTCGTACATGACTCGAAGCAGAGCAATTATTCGCTCACGCTTCGGTCATGGGGCTTTGACGACCCCCTGGGTACCGAATAAATGCAAGGCATCGGTTTCGCCTCTTCACAAGTGCCTTCTGGGTTATTCTCAACCAGGCCGGTCCTTGCTACAATTTTAGAGAGAATACGTCTCAGACCTTGCTATGGTCAGCTCGGGTGCGTGGGACCGCCAGCCCCAAAACATCTACTACCCCTTCGCATGTATCTTCCCTCATACTCATGAAGTACTACTACATGCAAAGGGTATTTTCAATGTTCCCTGCGCCTCGACCCGGCCTAAGCCGGGTCAAAAACTCCAACACTTTCATCCATTTTCTTTCGTTCTTTATAAATTACTTGCACTCTGTTTGCGAGAGCCCGAACTAATGCAGCAACTAGCAGTACTTTCGGGTACCTCAAATATACATTTGGACCGTCCCTACTACTACCATGCTTTATTACTGCCCTCGTTCATCTCTCGCAACCTCTTTCATTCTACTTTGTAAAAATATATCTCTTTATATAAATAAACTCTGTTTCTCCATTTCATTTCCTTTACATCATTTCTTTTCTCCGTTTAAATAACTTAATGGCAAAATCATTCATTTCTCTGAATGAATGCTCATACTGACATACGTCTTCGTAATTCCAACTGTTTACACCTGTTTGAATTATTTCCATTCTGTCTAAATTCCTCAAATCATTATATAATCTACAATCTATTAATACGTGTTCTACTGTTTCAATTTCGTCTCCGCATAAACATCTATCATTCTCCGCTAACCTTCTTTGATACAAGAATGCCTTCAAGCTTCCATGACCTGTAATTAGAAAATTGGCTTCTAGACTTGGTTCAAACCACTTCCATTCTCTAACATTCCTTACATCCGCTATAAATTTAAACGTAGTTCTTCCGACATCATCTCTTATCCATTCATTTTGCCATTCGTTATATGCTATTTCATCAATATATACTTTCCGCGCTTTTTCATTTAACTCTATCCATTCTTGCCTTCTATTTATCATTTCTTGTTCAATCCGCATATTTCCTAGTTCTATACCTTTCTTTATTCTATATACGATACCTCTCTTGATTACTTCATATCTCCACGGAAGTATTCCTAAAATTACTTCCATCGCGTGTGTGGATACCGTCCTACACACTCTTATACTTGCATACAATCCTATTCTTTCCGCTCGATCGACTGCCTTTTTTATCTTAACTTTTTTTAACTCACTATACCATATTGCTGCTCCATACAAAGCGCATGAAGTCAGCAAACCTTTATATAATACTATAATCGCCTTTTTTCTTAACCCCCATTCTTTCCGCATAATTCTACCAATTTTTCCCGCAATAACTCCAACTTTCTTATATACTTCTCTCAAATGCGGAGCGAAGTCCATCATTTTACCAATTGTTATACCCAAATATTTCACTTCTTCAACTATTCTCACTCTATTTTCTTCTATCTGTATATTTGGATTCCTATTCAATTTCCCTTTTATCATCATTGCAACCGTTTTCGTATTCGATATCTCAACTCCTGTTGTTCTTCCCCAGTTTTTGACTATTGTCAGCCACTGCGTTGCTTTCCGCTCTAATAAATTTCTACTATTTCCTTTCACCATTATCAATAAATCATCCGCATATGCTATTACTGAGCATCCATCGTCTTCCAACTCATTTAATAAATCATCCATCACCATATTCCACATAAAAGGTCCGCAAATGGACCCTTGTGGACATCCTCTATTTATATTTCTTTCTACTTTACCGCTTTCTCCCCTTACTATCAATTTCCTATTTTCAAAGTACGAATTCCATATTTTCTCTTCCAAGCAATTATTTGCTCTCAATTTCTCTTTAACAATGTTCCATTCTAAATTATCAAATGCGCCTTTAAAATCTACAAAAATTCCTAATATATATTTTTCATTACTTCCGCTTATCATTGTTTTCATTTTCTCCCATGCATCTTCTACCGATTTCTTTTTCCTAAAACCGTATTGTACCGCACTCTTCCTAAGTAGTCTATCTTCCATTCTTTTAACTAATAATTTTTCTAAGCATTTACCAAGACCACTGAGCAAATTTATCGCTCTATATGATCTTGGATCCGTTTTCACCTTATCAGCACCTTTCAATAATACAACTATATCTCCTATTTTCCACTTTTCTGGAAAATTACCATTACGCAAGCAACTATCAAATAAATTTTTCATGTACTCCGGTATTGCTATCCACATTCTCTTTATCATTTCATTTTTAATACCGTCTAACCCTGGTGCTTTTCCGCTTTTTAAACTTACAATTACCTCTTCAATTTCCTCTCTACTAAATTCATCGTACTCATTATTCTCCGCTACCACTCTATTTTCATTTGGTCTTCCCGGGGGAAACCATTCATCAAGTAAAGCATTAACTGCTTCTACCCAATTCTCGCTCATTCTTTCACCAACCTTTATTGCGCTTATTCCATCATTATTCCGTTTGCCCATACAAATCTTATATGCATTACTCCATGGATCATTATTTCCATCTACTCTCACATATTCTTCCCAATTCTTCCTTTTTGCATTCTTTATTGCATTTTTATATTCACCGCTTTTCCGTCTATATTCTTCCTCTCTTATATTATTATTGATACCTGTCTTTCTGCTAAATTGTACACTTCTCCTACTTCTTCTAAGTTCTTTCCTCATAGTATTCAACTCTTCATTCCACCATTTAATTTTCTTACTCACTTTTACTTTTCTTAAACATTCTCTATTCGTTTCGTCTACCCATTCATAAAATAATCTAAATTTTTCTTCAAGATTCATTTCCATATATCTACCTATTCCACAAATTTCCGCTTTATCTTCTAAAATTCCTATATACTGCGCCCATTCTATATTCTTAACCGACCATCTTATTTCATTATACTCATTATTATCTTGGTTATTCTGCCAAAGATCTACTTCAATCTCAATCATATTATGATCACTTATACCTACTTCGTTTCTCAAATTCCATACTGTCTGATAATTCCATCTATTGTTTATTATGGTTACATCAATATCACTCTCTCCCATAGGCCCGCTATACGTATATTCCTCTACATTTTCATTGATTGCTATCAAATCATTCTCCATCATTAATTCACCTATCACTTCACCTCGTCTACTTCTTTCATCATTCCTTATGCTTTTGCTTAGCCACAAGGGAGAGACCGCATTCGCATCCATTCCTAATATCAATGGTTTTTCTACCATATTTCCTAACATATTATTTATATATTCTCTAATTATTTCTATATCCTCTCCGAATTGACAATATATCGACGCCATACTCATTTCATGTCTATCTATCCTTATTGTTACACATGCAATATACTTATTCATCAACTCAATTCGACCTATACTCTCAATATTCTTATCCGCAATTATTATCGCCGCTTTACCCTCCTTCTTCATTATTACTTTCATATCACTCGGTAATCCACCTATAACACCTTTTCTTGTATATGGCTCTTGAACCATAGCTATCGATATATCGTCTTTCCGCATTATTAACCCTAATTCACACATAACCGTATACGATCTTTGGCAATTCAACTGTATAATTTTTATTTTCTTAGACATTATATGTTTCCCTATTCCTCAAAAATTCGGCCTTCCTAATATATTCAGGACAGTTCACCGAATCCGTCGGGTGCGCCTCATCTTTCCCTGTCCTTTCGTAACAGGACTTACAGCTAGGCCTGTTCTTACAATTCTTCGCCTCATGAGAGCTATCTCCGCATCTCCTACATACATATTTCCTTTCACGACATTGCTCCGCCCTATGGTGTACACTACAACATTTGTAGCACCGCTTCACCAATTCCATTTCTTTAATCTTGCATGACCGCCAACCAATATACACATAACCCTTCGTAAGCCATTTCTGGCTTACTTCCTCCGTTACTTTAATTACAACATTACTCAATTCATTCCGCACAACTCTCTTTTCGATCTTTACATCTCGCGCAAAATCCTCTACTGATATATTATTTATATCATTTTTATTAAACAAATCCTCAACGATTTCTTCGTCCTTTATTACCTTTGGTACGTCTAAAATTACCAGTTTTGGTTTCATTTTCACCGCTTCCGCAACCTTCAAACCTTTCTCTCTAACCACCTTCCTTTTTATATTTTCCGCATCTTCTACTGTCGCCGCTTCTATCACTACCCCATCTCTAATTTTCCTAACCGTTCTCACCTTAACCTCCTTTAAATCTTTACTCATGTGCTCAACCTTTTTCAATACGTCCTCCGCGTTTCCTCCACCATCTCCTCTTACCGCCACCGCAAATGTTTGAATCGCTACCTTTGGTGGCTGTATCACTTTTTGCACCGTACTTATCTGTGGTCCAGCCACATTAGTCTGCGTTGGTGCCTGACTCGTTTTTACAAAGAGTGACCTACACTCTTCCGCCCTGCCTCTAGCCTCCGCTCTCTCCGCTATTAGCTTTACAATAATACCCTCATATACCGCCATTTTATCCAAAATAAACGCCGACGCCATTTTTGAAATCTTATTGGAGTCATCAAGCAGAAACTTTTTCAGTTCTCTGCCCACTTCAACCATCGCATCCGCTCGTTGATTAATTTCACCGCTTATATTTATGTTTGTTTGTGTTTGTATTTGTTCTTCCATCTTTAATCCCACGAATATTTGGCTCATACCGGTCCATGTCGTTTTGCCATTCGACATAAGGCTAATACTACTGGAGGCGCCATATTCCAGAAGTTCGGGCATCTAGTGGTAGACCCTACTCCTCTACCGTGGAATGACGCTTGGCGACGCCCGCAACCCTACTTCAAGAGAATTTTTTATAGTTGTGATTTCAACTTAGGACGGCTGGCTAAGGCAATCCTGCCGGCCTGGATAGCGTCGGCTACCGCAATCCGGTATCACAGGGGCCTATCCCCGCGACACCACACTACGGGTCGTTGTCGACATTATCTACTCGAGAACTTCCAGGTTACGACGCTATAGGAGGTCTTAGAGTTCGCTATGCTCTTCGCTGTCCATTCCTGTTCAGCGCCTCCCAAGTTGAATAATTTTATAGCGATATTCCTTCGCTTGGACTCAGATCTTGTTTACGCATCATATCAATAGAAGTGATTTGCTACAAGTTTCTGAATCCGCCGGCTTCTCTCTCGAGAAGTTACGACTGACAGGTTGGATGAGCTCCATCCTGCTGAGCTCATCCTTCCTCCTCGCATCCCTTTTTAACTTAAGCCATTACCATATCCACTCTTTCTTAACTCTTACTCGGTTGGCAGAGCACAACTCACTCTCCATTCAAACCACAAAAAAAGGCGGACCGGCTGGCGGGCAGACCACATTGGTCCGCCGCGCCCTCCGGCCCGCAATTCAGCGATCAGAAATTAGAGCGCAAAACTCCGCATTTCTATACTATCGCTTTCTTCCACCGAGGTCTTTTTGATTGATTCTGCCCTTCGTATTTTCCGGTCCAAACCATTCGGGTCCCTTCATTCTCCTCCTCCTCGATCACCACCATCCCATTGCTTTATGAAGTATATCCCGAGATCCCGTCAAGCGGTACTCTCGGTCAACTCCAGCCATGGTCGGTCATTGATCGATTAAGAGATAGGAGGTGATCACTTGGTTCACGGCTTGGCAATCCGACGGGTACGAGCAATTATCACGCAGAGTACTCATGAATCAGCAGGGAGTCCACATCTGAATCCTATCAACAGGCATCACCCACATCATCAGATACCTCTACGCGCCCCCCGACCCTATCTGTCTCATGTTACACCTACCTTTTGATCACTCTTCAGGGATCTCCTAATGGTTGTGCCTTATCGACTTAGGGCATATTATCAACTTCACTTCTTTCAAATCTTTCTTTGACTTATTTCTTTTGCCATTTGGAATCTACATCAGCTTTAGGGGCTTAGTTATGCAGCCGACTTCACTGCCTAGCACTTATCGCTTTCTCCTAAGAGACCGCTGCGCTGCAGTATCGTCAGCTACCTATTCCCCCGCTGATTTAACTCCTGGCCTTTTCTGGGATTTCATCTTATTTATATAGCGGCTCTTCTCCGCTTGATCATACGGCACACGGTTTGGGAATCCGCAGGATGGACTATCACCAAACTGGTTCCGTAGTCACGTCGTTCCTACTTACTCGTTTAACAGCAAGCTGCTACGTGCATCGCTGGTTTACGACTCCATGACTGACAGACTCCTACTGCCCCTACCCCTAAAGCCATACCGCATGGAAAGCACGGCTGACTATCATTAGCTAGTTAATGGCCCTTAGTAAACTAAGGACCGTCAACTACCCAGTGGCTACTACGAGGAAGTTGATAGTCGTAAGCTTTCTCGATATCCATCTGCCTCGACGGCCCTGGCTTTGGACTTTTGGCATCCAGTGAAGGCATCCTCCGGTCCTTCAGCCGAGGTTTTACTCCATCGCAAACCGGACAGATTATCTTCAGCTTGGTAGTAAAGATATCACCTGTAAAGCATGTCCTGTAAAGGGGAACATTTAACTTAGGTGTGTATCTCAACTACCGCCACCCACTGGTAGGGACAGTGGGAATCTCGTTAATCCATTCATGCGCGTCACTAATTAGATGACGAGGCATACATGTACCCTCTGTTGTGGGTTAATATCTGCGCCGCGCAGGGCGGAATATGATACAGAGTTATGACCCCAATCGGGGGTAAGTCGAAGCACATTCACTATAGTTCCTGGTGGGGAAAATTAAAAGTCCTCATATCTCTAAATAGAATTGAAATTTCAAAGGAAAAGTGGTGCTGACACTGTGAGAGTATGCGTGGTCAGTCACCACTGTCAAGATAGTGGAATTTATAAATAAATAAGTTAGATACAATCAAAAATGCCACAAGCATAAACAGGTTGATAGTAAAATAAAGCATGATAGTGAAAAGGGACGAAACAACACTCTGAAACCGTTCTTATTCTAGGGACGCCCACAACACTTTGAAATAGCCATCCGTTGCTCGACAATTATTTGCGGGAGAAAACCGCGAAAACTATGACACCCGCGACGTCGCACCTTAATCACACGCTAATGTCAGGAGGGCCCTCAACGCCGTCTCCAGACTCTTCGACCAAACGATTGGTGGATCGAAGAGCTCCATTTGAGCGCGCTGTGTACACAGCTCGCCCTCAACGCCCGTGTCAGTTTGAGCGCTTCATCGGTGGGCCCGTTGCACCTTGGCCAGATTCCTCTAGCACCAACAATCAACGGCAAGACTTGTAGAGACTTGCCAGGCCAGCGTTGTCGTGCGGCCTCCAAGAATTTATTGTTGTCATAGACTGCCTTCTTGGCAGCATACGTCACCCCCAAGGGTTGATTTCCCTCCCAATTCACCCCCACGTCCACGATAAGCGTACAAGTGTTTTGGTGGACAACCGGGTCTGGCTTGAACAGTGTGCCATCCTGGTGCCGGACGTGGGGTTCTTCCTAGGTCGTCCATTGCTTCTTCCTGCAATGCCCGGCGACCTTCTTGACTACCTCGTTATGACGCCTGATCCTCTCCCAGTGTGTGGCGGGACACTGTTGTAGGACGTGGGACAGGCTTTCAACTTTGTCACAACCGGCCCTGCATTTCCGCATTTCCGGCGGGTTGGACATGATGCCCGCTACGGGCAGGTTGTTAGATCTCAGTTGCACGGCTCTGACAAAGTCTCGGCCTGTCCATCCTTGTGACTTCTGGTCTATCCAGCTCCTACTGGCGGGATCATCTGTGGAATTTTCGAGACCTTTCAATGTGGGCGCCTGCATTAGACGGTCTCGCCACAGATGATCATTTGGAACGTCGCCTTTCAATGTATTCAGTCGTTCCATCAGTCCTCGCGTTTCGACACACTGTAGGATGGCGCTCAAGCATCGGTCGTCGACGTGGTCAAGAAGCCCGGTCAGGCGTTTCAGGAAGACGCCCGGAATAAAATGTCGAAGCTCCGAAATACCAAGGCCACCGTCCCTGATTTTGGCATGAAGTGCCGCGTCAGGGGTGTGCTCATTTAAGTGGAGAATATGTTTAGCGAACCGCTTTATGAGGCGGTCTGCTGATCGTAATATCTGGCCTGTGACCCTGGGATTTTGAAGCCCAAACATTTATTTCGGTATGATGTGCTCCTTCAAGACCTTTAGTTTTTGATCCGGTTTCAAAGGAGCACGCTCGATATTAGTGAGCCACCGAGGAAGATTACTCAGACTTGGCTTCAGCAAGCCGGTCATTTCATCTTCAAGGACAACTATGTCATCGACGAAGGCCATGGCAGATACCCTAACCTAAGGGGCAAGGGTTCCGCCAGTGGATCCACTGTTTAGATGGCAGATCAACTCGTCGATGACATGGGTGAACAATAGAGGGCTCAGAGGTTCCCTTTGTTCATCCCCCCTACTCACCCTGAAGTTACGCGTGCTGCCAGAGCCAGTCTTGATGGTGGTAGAGGAACTGGTCAAGGTGCCCCTAATATAGGTTTGGATCCCCGAATCCACTCCCATCCTGGCAAGGGCCCTGAGGACGGACTCGTGAGAGACCGTGTCGAAGGCCTTCCTGACATCAAGTGCCAACACGTTGAAGCAGGCTTCTCTTCTTCTCCTGGAGCGGATGTAGTGGTACAGGATGATCGTGTTGGCCATAGTTCCATCCACTTCTGTGAAGCCTCTCTGGTCCATGTTCAGAGAGGTCGCGATTTTGAGCCGATGGGCCAGGACTCGGTGAAATAGACGCTGGATGAAGGAGCCGATGGTGATAGGTCTCCAGTTCCCTGGATCCCTAGGGTCGCCTTCTTTGTGAATGAGGGTGATCCTCATTTTATCGAACGACTGCAAGTGAATGTTCCTCATCAAAAGTATGGAAAACAAAATCGCCAGATCCCGATCAGCTGTTTTCTTCACCGTCATCACCTGCACCTCGTCGGTCCCTGGTGCTGATATGGACCAGCTAAGTTTTGCTCGGGCGACTTCTTCGGGCAATATCGGCTTGAAGGTGCAGGTGGATGTTTTCGGGTCGATGATGACCTCGTCATCGGGGGGAGAAGCGCTCTCCAATATCCCCCCGAAGAGTTCCTCGACTGCCTGGACAGAGGGGAAGACGTCAGCGTCATCCAGGGACTTCCCTGCGAGCAGGCGGTCCACCAGTCTACTTTTGTTCTCATTGAACAGATCCTGAGTTTTTTTGTACTGGGCTGCTTTAGGATTGTTCCCTGTGGACTGCTGGCCGTAATGCCTTGCTTTCCGTGTACTTTTCCCTCTGCCCTTTGCCTGACAACCTGCGGCCGAGGAGCGCGCCCCGGGGTTGCTCCCGGGACGCACCTCCACCGCTTGTGTGTCAGGCGGCACAGCGGCCCTCCTCCCAGGTCGAGTGGTCTTCCTCTTCTCGAAGTTCTGATGGATCCAGGTTTAGATGAAAGAGGACAGTTCTTGATCGCTGGCCTCCATGCCAGCATCGATCAGACCTATGAGATTGTTAGTTGAGCTCAGAGTCCCTTATATAGTTGATCCTCGACCTCATCCTTTGACGAAAGGAGATATCTGTAGAGGTCGGGATCGATGGTGGGTTCCTCTGGCTGCTCATCCATCGCCACCGCGTGTGGGCTGGTAGTGATCTCAATCACTTCTGGAGCAGCCAGTGGGGACTCACTCAACTGACGAACTTCTGGTGGAAGTGGGGAGGGATCTTGACTTGCTGTTGTCGAGTACAGGGTGCGCCTCTTAAAATGGAACCCCCCCTTAACTCTTTTGTTTTCGGAGATATAAAAAAATGTTGAAAAAAAAAGTTGTTTGAAACGACCAAAACTTTCATTTCGTGAAGTTGTTTTATATACAGGGTCATTCGTTTTTCCAGAAAGAACATCAACTTTGATTTTTTCAATGAAACACCCTATATATTTTTCAACAAGTCGATAGAGATTTTTTTTCTGATTCCAAAAATATATCGATGGTTATATTCCATAGGTGGCTATCTACTAAATCGTGAATTCTCAGGAAACGATTTTCAAACTTCGGACGGCTCCATCAAATCGAATTTCAAAATATGAGTTCGAACTATTCCATGAATAATATGTTAGGGTATATTTCAGTATATCTTCGTACATTGACGTCATTAATAACATTTTGAGACATCATGTCACACGAATTTTGAAAAAAAAAGTCAGATAGCCATATTTGACACAAACATTTTTATTCATAATATAAGATAGACATTAAATTTAATCCAAACATTCGTAGATTATTGAGAAAAAAATTCATGATCTTCATCGTCATTGACATCTGGAATAACAGTTTGGTCTTGTACATCCTCATCAGCAATCAGACTGCTGAAAAATTGTTTGCAGTCATCTGGTACCCCACCAGATTTACAAATTTCTTCTAAGTGCTTTAGCTTCATTGCTGAAATTTTCCTTTTCTGTTCGTGTAGAGGTTTTAAACATTTCTCCATGGCATTAATAGTGACTCGGCGACCTCTACGTGGGACAACAGAGATCGAACGGAAATCTTCATCGAATACAGTTTTCACCTTCATGACGAAAGGACTCTGCTTTTCGTACCTTATCCATTTAATATGATGCCAGTTTAATGTGTCTCCATTTTCATCCTTGTTGCGATTTACCATGATAATTTTTGCTAGAGCTTTCCAGTCAAGGAAACCAATTTGATTCTTATCAAAAACTTGATATTTGGGTTCATTTTGCTTCGCATTCTTAGCAATGGTCATCCATTCATGTGGCAGATATACTGGTCTATTTTTAGAAGCGATTTCAATACGAGCATGCATTGAATCGCATTCCATCTGACTATGTCCTGAAATGAGGAACTTTTGATCTATGACTTCTATTGATAAAACCTGTACTGCATAAATGAACATAGCAGCCACATATTGGTTTTTATTCTGACCTCCACATGTATCACTGAATAATCTGACATCTTTAGTAGTTGGAGACAGGCTCTTCAAATGATGGAATAAACATGATGCAATTTCACAAGGTCCACGAGCACCTTCTACTTCAGTCCACATGTAGCATTTTCCTGTATTATCACCACAGTTGAAGATGGTGAAATTATACATAGCTTACTTTGTTTTATAGAAAAGAGTGGGATTTGTAGCCTCTGTTGGAACATACAATACCTGTTGTAGATCAAAATTACATGAATGTACTCTCTCATTATCAGATCTCGCGGCAGTCTTGTCTGAATTTTTCTCCTTCCTAGCCCTGTTCTTCAAATCAATGTGAAGGTTATACTTCTCTTCAAGTGTGACTTTTGTTTCAGGATTAGCAGATTGGTATGCAGTGCATGTTGGGCACTGGTCCTTTCTTGGTTTGTGAAATGATAAGTTGAAGTGAGTCCTGAAAATTTGGCGATAATAACTTTCCTTCAAACATTCCAAACCATTTTCTGTACATTCTTTTTTGTACAGTTTGTACATTTGGGCAATATTCAATTTTGGATCCAAGTATTGCCTCTGAGAGTTCTTTCTGCAATAGTGAGACATAACTGTTGGGAATTTCTTGATGTGATCCTTAACAAAGGCTGTCGAAGC